CAAAGAAGCCCCCGCAAAGAAACCCCCACAAAGAAGCCCCCAAAAAGAAACCCATGCAAATAAGCCCCCACAAAGAAACCCATGCAAAGAAGCCCCCGCAAAGACACCCTCACAAAGAAGCCTCCGCGAAGAAACCCAAACAAAGAAATCCACGCAAAGAAGCCCCCAAAAAGAAACCCATGCAAAGAAGCCCCCGCAAAGAGACTAGGGATGCACCGATCCACTTTTTAAAATTCCGCTCCGATCCCGATACCTAGAACTGGGTATCGGACGATACCGATCCAGCTCCGATATCAGGATCATCATTGATTTTATATGAGGCTGTAATAATCTCCTCTCAAGTACAATTTGTACAAATATACGCATGCATGTCCAAAAAGGCAACTTGAGGTAAGTTTTATTAATGTTGGATAAGTTTTAAAGTTAGAATTAAATTCTGCTAACACAAAACATGTTTTTTTTTATTCCTAGCTTTAAAGTGGATAATAAAGTGATTAATTTAAGTTATTGTTTAAAGTTGTTTTATATTTTATAAGGGGCAGATATAAGAATTTTTTCTTCTTTCTGCATTCTTTTCATTCAATGTTTTCTTTTTGATGATTTTTTTTTTTAATTTTGTTTAATTTAAATGAATGAATAAATGAATTAAATTAAATAAAATGTTAAATGGCTTCAAACATCTGCTAAGTTCATGGCATAAACCAACAGACATGTTCCTGTTTTTAGTATTTTACATCACTCTATAATGTAGCTGTTTATGTTTTTAATATATATAATTTTCAAATCATATGTTTTTTATGATTGTCTACTGTTGTACTGATAAATTTCTCCTGGAGGGTAAACTATATCTTGACTGCAAGTATCAAGCTGTGAAATCCTTCGTTTTCTACAACTGATAGTGGTTGGTCATTAATTATGATGAAGTTTAGCAACTTCTCTGTAAACATTTGAGCTCCGTGGTTTCAGCGATGTTTTCTTCTTGTTCAATCCAAAGCAGGCAGCCTGATTTGGGGCAGCCGCGCTCAGTCTGTCCCTCCTCAGAGACGGGTAGACTGAGCGGGGCAGATTGGACGCGGCTGGCCGGGGTCGAGTCGCCTCTTTTGGTTTGACCAAAGAGCAGCGCCCCGCTGAAGCCACTGAGCTCGAATGTCCATCGTAAAACTAACTTTACCGCGGTTTAATGTGGCGCTATGGCTCTGCAGACATTGCACGTTGCTATCTTGTCTTGTGGTGTTTCTAGTGTAAAATACTTCCACACAGCGGACATGTTTAGATGAAAAGTTGGTTAGCTGTTAGCTACAGTGCTGCTAACTCAGCCCTCACGTTGTAACTGGCTGCAAACTATGAACTGGATTTCCTGAATGTGAGGCGGGTCTTATTACTCTGGGCTCATGAGACACACCGCCGTTCAGGAAATCCATTCCATAGTTTGAAGCCAACTTGCATCATGGATCGGAAATATCGGCAGGTGGATCGGAAAATCCGATACGTAAATTATGCTGGTATCGGAGGCCGATACGGATGCTGGATCGGATCGGCCCCATCCCTAAAAGAAACCCACACAAAGAAGCCCCTGCAAAGAAACCCAGGCAAAGAAGCCCCCAAAATGAAACCCATGCAAAGAAGCCCCCGCAATAAAGCCCCTGCAAAGAAACCCAAGCAAAGAAGCCCCCGCAAAGAAACCCATGCAAAGAAACCCATGCAAAGAAGTCCCTGCAAAGAAGCCCCCGCAAAGAAACCTACACAAAGAAGCCCCCGCATAGATGCCCCCGCAAAGAAACCCACGAAAAAGAAGGCCCCGCAAAGAAACCCTCACAAAGAAGCCCCCC